GAAATCAGTTTGGAGGAAACCCTGTTTCATGTGCGATTGGATTAGCTGTGTTAGATGTAATTGAGAAGGAACACCTTCAGGCTCATGCCACAGAAGTAGGAAACTTCTTGATGAAGCTACTCAAGGAGCAGAAAATCAAGCATCCCATCATTGGTGATGTCAGGTATCAGTGCCTTATTTACATTTTTAGCTGCTTTTTGTTTGGTTCAGTCAGTCAAACAACTCAATCCAACTGATGTGGTTTTAAGAAATTCATTAAATCTGCATTTTCAGCAAAACTCAACAGCCTGCTGTACATTAGATTAAAACAAACTTGAGCTTATCAAAAGTCTGATATACTTTGCCACTCTAGGCCAGTACTGCTTTACTGATTTATTAGTTGTTAAAGGAATTCACTTTCCTGTTTGAACTCTTACTTCAAGTGCATAAAGAACAGAATTAATGAGCTGGATGGAAAATATGTTTAACATCACAGCCGGTGCTGGCATTCGGAGCAGATGAAAGTCTGTACTGTATTACTACATTTCTTCAGAACAGCAATACCTTTTCTATCACTAGCCAACCATCAGGTAATTCTCATGCAGTAAAGGTTTGGTCTAACAAAAACCTTTCTCAGTTTTTTTAGTTCACTTGCAGTTCCTTCCTCTGACAAAGATTGACTATTTTTATTTCTTTTAAAGGGGTTCTGGCTTATTCATTGGAGTGGACTTAATCAAGGATCAAGCAGCAAGGACCCCGGCCACAGCAGAAGCAGAGTATCTCATAACAAGGTACAAGAGACAATCACGTAGTTCCTCAATGTGCAAGGCAAGCACACAATTACTAAGTAACCTTGCCACTCAATAGTTGTTAAAATTTAGCCAAGTGGCACAAAAAGAAACCAGTCAATGCAGAAAGGCATTGTCTGGACACCCTGCATGCTGATGCTTGTAAGTTTTTCTGAACTACATGCAAAGGTAAACATAATTCTTTGTTATTGCTCTTTCCAGACTTAAGGAAGAATATATTCTACTGAGCACAGATGGGCCAGGAAGAAACGTGCTTAAATTCAAGCCTCCAATGTGCTTCAGTATGGAGGATGCAAAATTTGTTGTGGACACAATTGACAAACTACTAACAGGTAGTACAGATCAAAACTGTCTTATAGAGGGCTGCTGTTGGACTGCCTTAAACTCAGTGCTGAGTCTGCTTTTCAAAAGTGCTAAAATAGAGCTCAGATGATAGATGCATAGACATGGGAAAATGAGTCTTAGTCAATGCAAGTTTAGCCTTCACTTCTAAATTGTTCTGTTTTAAAGTTCTCTACAAAGCTATTTACTCTGCAGATGCATATGCCTTTTAAAATAGCTTTGCTTTGGCAGAGGTTGAAGTGTTTACCCATCTGAACAAGGGGAACTGGTAAAAGCTGTCCAAATTTCATTCTTGACAGCCATAATCTGTGTGCATTTGCCACTTTAGCTTTTTATACAACTTCTGCACGCTCAGTATTAACAAAGTTAGTCCAAAAACTTATCTCAAAGTCATGAGTTTGCTAAATTGTTACTTATTCTCTCTCCAGATATGGAAAAAGAATGTCTGAACCAGTAGAAAACATCCACTTGTTCTACCTGACCAGGTATTTATCTATGTTCACCCTTTACTATGTAAAAGCCAAGGTTCCTAAACGTAACTTCACAAGCTTTGTCACTGGCAGCAGAGCAGGACCAAGTTTCCTCAGAGATGCTTTTACCTGGAATTAGTTTGCAGGAATTTCTGGCAATCTAGAAGCAATGAACCAGACTTGTGTACACCTGGCATTCACAGCTACCTTCTATCAGAGTCTGACAGTGTTACTTCTAGTAACACTATACGTATTCATTTGTTTGCAGGCTAGGTCCAACATGTCCCAGAAAGGCCTACCACTAAAGCATGCTGGGAAGCTTTAAAAGTGACTGGGTTTAACCCTTGGCATGCAAACGACACGCACATCAAGAGAAAAACATAGCTTTTATGTTAGCTGCTCAGTGCCTTAAGTCTCCAGACAGAAGCTGTTGCAGCTGCGTAACTACTTCTCAGCAAGTCTCCCCTTAACTGCCCTTAAGGGCAGGAACACTCTACATTCTGCATGCCACAATTTGGGAACCTCCACTTATGCCAACAGCTTTGTGAAGAGCTATAAACAGTACTTTTACTACTGTAGCTCCTGTTTTACTTAACAGTTGACTTTGAAATAGTATTGCCTTCTGTTCTCTTGAGCATTTTTTACTGTTTCATAGGATCATTTCAGGTTTGTGGCTGTTATCTCATGCTTAAGCATCAATTTACCCCTGTACTCAGAAATCTGTGCGCATCAGTAAGACCAAGTCCTATTAAGTCTTCCAAGCCTTGTAAATCTTAGTATCTGTTGAGGTCCCTTTATAGCTTGCTTACAGAGAACATCTAGCTGCCACTCATTTTGCCATACACTCACTGAGTACAGTGTACACTTACAGTTAACACCTTGGTAACAACACCCTTTGGTACACTTACTTAGTACTTCTTGAACCTACTCTGACTAAAAGACAACCGAGTGTTTTTTTAACCGAGTGCCCAGTAAAACTCTAGGTACCTGGGTGGGAAGGTACCTAATATAATCATTGTAATCAATGCAATCATTGGTCGCCTCAACCACCATCCTAGATTCACAGTGCTATGGCCCTGAGCTAAGGAGAAACATGCTTTTAGTTCAGTGCAATATTAGTATAGCAGGCACAAGAAAAATGTGTTAGTATTTTATTTAGCAAGTTAATGGAAAGACATACAGCTGTTTGTACTACTTATTCTTGAGAACAGAAAGATTACTCAACAGTGCCAGTTTAACTTAGAGGCCTAATGACTTAATGTGCTTGTCTGCAATCTAAACTAAGCAAGAAAAATGCCTTTATTTTCTACAGGAAACCAAGAACACAAAAAGCCTCTTACTAAGTACAGTACTAGTGTGACACTTACATATAATGTAAGCGAAAATGAGGCAATCAAGTAGGTTCCTTTTAATGATGCTTTTACAAAAAAACATTATTTTCTTTCCATAGGTTTCAGACAATGTTCAAGCTCTGCTACTAAGAAACATTATTCTACGATAATAATGCACATTTAATCTTCATCCTAGCATGTCTTAAGACCACATAATTGAAAGTAACAAAATGAAAGGTAACTTATCTTGTTATTAGTAAAAACTTTAGAAGAAATAAATTTTACAAGAGCTTGTTTCAACTCTGGCAGAAGTGTGGAATTGGCTTTTATTTAAAACAGCATATCTAAAACTGATTATAAAGGAATGTATTTCTAGTAGCTACTATAAACTACATTGTCTAAATTCATGCTTTTTCAAGTTATGATTTTTGAATATTAAGATGAGCCAATGGGTTCTCTTATTTTTTTTATATCTGCTGCTACCTATGCAAACACCATTCTAGCTGCCAGTACACTCAGTCCTTCCCAGGCTCCTCTGACCAGTTTCAGTAGCCAGTTTTCGTAACAAGGTCCCTAGAAGCACTATATTCAACAAACAGTCTGAGTGACCAGATTAAGTCAAAAACTTCAGTCCCAAATTCACAACAAATGCATGAGGAACAGACAGCTGAGGGCCATGGCTCCCAAACCAGTTCTTACAAAATATTCTGTCCTCAAGAAATATCCAAGTAGGATTAGTAAATTAAGAGTACATAACAGCCATAAGCAACAACCTTGTGTACAAGCCCTTGCTTTCACTAGGCAATTACATGTTCTTTGTATCACAAACTTTTCATGCAAAGAAGAAAGGGAAAGCTAGCTCTGCATTTAAGTACCAGTATCCTCAATTTCTGCTTAAGGCCACATCACCTGTCAAGGAAGCATTACCTGAGAACCTACTTCCAAAAAGCACCAACGTAACAGCCAGCTGACAAACTATTGCTAATACACTAGCCGGAAATACTGCAGCAGTATGGTCCTGATACTATGCAAATTCCCTGTTGGAGGGCAAACTGTTTTCTAGAAAAATATTCTGCTACCCCTTACTTCATAAGAAAACAAGTAAAAGGATGCAATAGAGTAAAGCATTTCAATTTTACATCTTGAGACAGTAATACTTAAATACTGTACTCATGTTTCAGAGGTCTGCAATTTTTTTAGTTGCAAGTTGGGCATTAGGTTACATACTCCAGCTGTAAAGTTGTTGTGTCAACTATCAGATTTAAAATCTGCTGCATCTTTTTTATACGCAAGATTTCCTCTTAACCCCAGAAAGTCTTACAGACTTCTAACTTTACAGCAAGTTTTTCTTTTCAAGGACAGCCAGCAGGGAGCAGTATATTATAATCCCTGCAGAAATAGCTGCATCCCTTGTTAAAAAAAGTGAAAAGGTCACTAGTAACATCTGTTTATGTCTTGTCTTAGTTACTTGGTTTGATTCCACTTCTGGTTCCCATTTGTTCAAACAGAATTTATTACAAGAAAAAAATTGTCATATTTTAGCTTTAAAAGGAAAGTAAAAATTGATTACTGCAACAAAGATTAGAAGTTTACTTTGTGCAGCAGCACTTGCTACTTATTTATAAATCTGAAATTGGGACTATTCTGCAGCAAGAGAGGCAAATCACATGATAGTTATTGCCTTCAAATAGTGGTAAACTAGGCAAAAAATGAGAGCATATTTCCAGCTGCTCACTCATCTCTAGAGAAAGAGCTGCCTCTTTAGAGGCAGCTCTGTTGTTTTTCCTCCCACAACTTTAGTGGAGGTTCTTTAGCCTTTTTTGATACCCAAAAAGGCTGCAAAAATGCAGACTTTGCATTGGTAATTTAATGTCTAACCTGTCTTTCAAGGCAGGTATACATACTACTAAGAACTTGTAGAAAAGTCTCAGACTCAAGATAGATAGTGAAACATGAAGGAAGAGCACAGAGCTTCTTGCACATCTCTTAGCAGCTTCCTCCTGCAATGCTGTCTAGACTCCCAAGCCCTACCTGAAATCTATGCCTCTGGCTCCTCCTAGCAGAGCCCTACAATGCAGACACTAACACAGGTACGCTGAGCCTCTGCACTTGTCTAGAACATGAGCCACCAGCATGCCAGCACAGCCTCCACAACACCTGGGACTCTCCACCCCAGTTCTCTTCCATAACCTCCAGGCAGAAGTGACTGCAGTTCTTAGCTGCCACTTAACTGCAAGTGAGCACAACTACCAATACAACAGCCTTCTAGTTTTAAGATTAAAAACATTTCATCACAACTCTTCGTCTATCAAGGTACTGCCATGAACTAATTTCTGGGAACAGTATACTGGCGTTTTACTAATACATAAGCTGAAGAATGGCACAAGACACTAGATTACGCCTTTTTTATTTCAAAAGCTAGGATAGCTTCAATATCCATGTCATGGTGAATCAGAACACATGTAAAATACCTTACAATACATTAGATTCCAAAAAGGTACCAAAAAGTACAGTAAAATTAACACTTCCATTACAGGAAATGTATGACACAAAAACAATACAAAATAAAAAGGTGAAAAGTGACACTGGTTCCCTAAGATGCATCTCATTCTGTACAACTGGAGTAATGCAGAGTCCATAGTTAACTCCAAGAGGCAGTCCCTAGATGCAGAGCTGCAGCTTTAAGCAGACCCTCAAAATCAGTTTCAGTTTAACCTATTAATAAAATCATTAATTAATATCTTCAGCAAGGCTGAAATTTACACACCACACTGTCTAGACAACTAGTTATCTGTAAGTATTAAACATGTAAAACATTTCCAGGGAGCTCTTCCAAGTAAGATGCACATTTAACAGGCCATAGAAATTTATTGTAAAGTTAAATTTGGTACAGAACTGAAATATCCATCTACAGCATTGTATACAAAACCTATGCAGTCATTTTCCAAAAGAGACCATGCCACTGCATACCTGAATAAGTTTGATCAATATGGCTTGTAGTTATTCTGATGACCACCACGTCTTGGTGTCTTCCCATAATTTGCACTGCCTTGACCTATGAACAAGAAAACAAATGCATTAAACTGCTAATTAGTTACGCTTGCTTATACCCAATACAGTTCTCTTTACTTACTGTAATCATAGCCTGGTCCATATCCATAATACCCATATCCTGAATAATCATAGCCTCCATAGCCACCATAACCTTGCTGATAGCCGTATCCTTGATTCCCATAACCCTGGTTCCAGTAATTGCCATAACCTTGATTCCAATTTTGACTTTGAGCTATAGAAGGGAAAACCATCCACAAAATCCCATTTTAGTACACACAACTTATTTAGAATGTGTCCATACTAAAGTAGTGCGTGTAGTACTTACCGCCGCCTCTTCCACCTCTGCCTCTTCCTCCATAGCTACCTCTTCCTCCACCACTACTGAACTGTTGCTGCTGGTATACTTCTTTTGGCTGTGCTACCTTAATCTCGCACTGAAAATAAAAAACAAGGAAGAGTGTGTATACTGTCTTATAGCAGCAGCACCCAACCTAACCACCTAGGAAAACCAGAGGTTACTCTAGAGGCAAAGGAGGTATACGTGCTGCGCTCCGTCATGCGGCCACGACTAATGCATATCCAGAAGCATCTGATTTATTGTGCCGCCTGGGCAAAGGTAAGTCACTGTTGGCCATTCAAAGCAGGCCCTGCTTTCAGAGTATTTTATACTTATTCTCTACTGATAGTAGAGAATACTGATAGTAGAGAATACTCTACTATCAACTCCCCCCTGGAAGAGGTGCTGAGGCCACCTCAGCATAGCCACTGCTCCTGTAGGAGCCACGAGGCTGCCCTCTATCCTGGCACAACCTCCAAGACGAGGCTGTTGCTATTGGACCACTTCACCTGAGCTGCACTGAATGAACAAGGCTCTGAGAAATGCACCAGAATGAGTTCTCCTGGCAGCCTTCATATACCCTATGCACTGAGCATCTGTGTTGGACTGTACAGTACACCTACCAACACTTGAAATCATCACTTACCAAATACTGATAACAGCTAAAAACAACCAGAATTGACATTTCTAAGACAGGTTCCCAAGCTGCAGTTCAACCTGTCAGCCAGCTTCCTAGTTCCCGAATCTGTGCACAGTCTGAAACGAAAGCTACTGTTGCTATGAAAGGAACAACTCCCTGTGATAGCAGCACCTGAGCAAGCCTGGCTTGGAATTCTTCACCGCAGGAGCTTTAAGGTAACCTGCTCTTTTTATTATCACTATGACACAAAAACGAGCCATAGTTACAAGATATAGATATGATTTCTCAGCTCCCTTGGCACATAAGCATTTGTCTCTCCTGAAAACAAACTATCGCTAACTACAGTGTCTTGACAGCTACCAGTGCATTAAGTTTGCCAAAGTTTATTCTGTACTGTGTCAAGACCAGTCTTAAACTGAGTGCAGTCTAAGTCAGTGTGTCAGACAGCATGACCAGATCTAACAGGGCTTGATGTTAGTGTATGGTCAGCACTGGCCATGGAGCAAGGGAAGAGGGACACCTCTAGCCAGCACACATCATTTGCCTCCAGTCCTCTTCTCATTAGCTTAACACATGAGCCTCTATTAGCTGTTCCCACAGATGAGCAGTCAGCTGTTCAGAGCATCTCACACCACTTTTACACTAATTCACATAACCAGCTGACCAGGTACAAGTTGCCATAAGCATACATTTACTCTCCAGATCCTTGCATCGGGTTTATGTGACAAGGTTTTGGTAGCGCGGAGGGCTGCAGGGCAGGCTTCTGAGATGAGACGCCAGGAGCTGCCCCCATGTCAGACAGAGCCAGTTTCAGCCAGCTGCTTACAAAGTTAGTGTCTGTAAGCCTTGAATTTATGCAACTGCTCTATGCTGAAAATAGGTATGTATCTGTTTAAATGGCTTATATTGCTAGACTGATACATAAACCAGTTTTTCCGCATGTATTTATGCAATGCAATTAGATACTTTACATACAAAAGCCCCTAGAACATAGCAAATATTAAAGCCGCAAGTATTGGCAAAGAACCTCTGCAACTGAACTTACGGCAAAAAAGACCCTGTGGTAAATTGCAAGCTGTCCTTATTGTAATTTGGGTACCTTGAAATCAGAGGTCTACAAAATCCTTTTCAGATTACAGATGTAGTGGTATTATACTTAATACCTTGGGACAAAAATCTACAAGTCAAAGTTTCTACCTTGCTTCCACTGACGTTATGGAATTTCTTCTCCAAAACCTTCTTCACCGGATCCTCTTCCTTGAAAGTGATGAACACAAACCCCCTCCTTTTGTTGGTCTTTGGATCCATTGGAAGTTCAATTGCTTCAATCTGAAGACATGAAATACTATTTTCAGACTTGCATTTTAGCAGAACAGTTAAGCACATGGCATTTGGGATAGTAAAACAGAAAATAAAAAAGGAAAGTTTCCTATCTATGCATATTATGCAACACCAAAGTTGCAATATTCTTTCTACACTAACATTGGCTTTCAGACCAGAGGTTTCCATTTTACAACTCTTAAAAACAATTTTATCATCATATAAAATGGTTTGAGTTAAAGACAAGGGTATCTAACTAGCAATGGAAGCATCCAGTGCAGTATGTGCCTTCCTTGCTCTCAAGATGGGAAACCTCTGATCAGTTACAGAAGGCCTGATACATCTGAAGTTAATTTAATTTGCAACTTGCAAATTGTTAGTAAACTAAACAGCAACTGGAGACTGTATGTTTCAGTGTTTACTAAGATAACATTACATACCTCTCCAAACTCTCCAAAGTATTCCCTGATTTTCTCTTCTGTGGCTTCTGGGTTTAGTCCACCAACAAATATTTTCTTCACTGGATCCTTTTTCATTGCCATGGCCTTCTTGGGGTCAATTAGTCGTCCATCTAGCCTGTGTTCTTTCTGTTCCAGGACCTGAAAGATAGTTTGATAGGATTAACTCAAGCTGAAAAGTTTCCCCGAGAAGTTAAGAATCTGAAATACGAAGCTTAAATTCACCTTTTCAACACTCCCAGGTTCTTTGAAGAGAATAAATCCAAAGCCTCTGGATCTTCCTGTGTTAGGGTCCATCTTTATCGTACAGTCGGTTACCTCACCAAACTTGGTGAAGTAATCTTTCAAGTCTTTTTTGCTTGTATCCCAACTGAGGCCACCAACGAACATCTTCCTGAAATTTCAAAGAGATAAGAGCTATTTAGATTCAGGAAGCGCTACAGAAAAGCACATGCAGCAAGATGCTCACAGTGGTACAAACCTCTGCAGCATTGTCAGAAACGGGACCAACTGTTGAAAGTTACACACTTTTGCATCTTGTCAAAAGCTAGCGATACTACAGGAGTGCACAAGGGTGGGTTCCCCCCCATCTTTTTGAGGGAATGACACAATGCACCCTGAAGTTTATCACAGGCTCTAAGAAACAGTAGAAATTGCCTAAAATATTCCTTGCTAGTAACTTACATTCTTTCAACAGTATTCTGTTATTTGCAACAAAGCAGTACTGATTATCAAGTACTGCCAACTCAAGTTTTTGGGAAGAACCTAGGAGCATTCCTACTGCTTTGAAAGCATTGAGGACAGAATAAGGCATCAAAAGCAAAATACTTGAGCTCTTTTAGGATCTGGACAAACAGCTGTAAAAATTTTAGCTCTAAGAACGATTTGCAGAATTTAAACCAGGTATCTATGACCTCCAAGAACAGTCACATACAACAGATGGGACTTTGGACCTGCCTCAACTACTGTGTTGTGCACTCCTTCCTGCTTAGTTACTGAATCTAGTTCTGTCTTCATCAGTACTACAGGAGTATCTCCACTATTAGTCTTTGCTGTCATGAAAGGCCAATACAGTACTTCCCTGCCCACTTTCCCACACAAAATATCCTCTGAAGCATCTCAAAGAACTAAATACTAGTGACGTGCAATACAGAAGTGAAGCTAACAAACAAAACGTAGATCAGTCAATAAGGCACTTTTCAAATGCCTCACTTCAAATGAAAACACTAATAACATAACTGTATTTTCTATTTTCAGGGTTTCCAAGGTAACAAACTGAGCTTTTAAAAGCGTTCGAGCCTTTTTATCTAACTATAGACTAAAGCAGTTTAAGTTGTCATTACTCTGTTTAGAGGCAACCTAGATTTGGCACTAGAAGCTAGCAGCACTTTAGAAACTAGACTATGTTTAAATAAAATCGGCTTTTGGTGTTTATGTGTAAATTTGATTTGCTAGAACTAGTATCCATTTATGTTCAAAAGGCAACATGAGAAAAAACTGTATGTGCTTTTTTTTTTTTGCTTTTTTCCTTAAAGGGGATGAAACCATATCCTTTGTAAGCTAAGCCCTTATTTTTACAGAGGATCAAGCTGCACACTCTTAACTGACAAGTGCAGCATGATACATAAGGTGCAAGTAAAGTCTGCATGCTTGTAGCCATTACAATAGAGCCTTACAGAAAAGGCCTTACAAAGTTTACCAAGCCTTTTAATACCAGGTGAAAGAAAAAGTAACTTGACAGATTCCTTCTCATCACAACAGCTTACTGACCAAGCACGACTGCTATAATCTGCACAGACTGACAGTGGTTTTCCATAGCATACCCTGTCATCGACTACACTTAGAATGATCAAGAGAAATTCAGTGGTTGGGGGGGTGACAGGAATTTGTCTGGAGGTAGCTTTAGCTGCTTTATGCCATTGGGTTGGGGCTGTAGTACACACACAGATATTGCCACATGCTAAATTCACCTCTTACCACAGCAGTAGATAATTACACTTTGTAATTTACAGTCCTTCGTTTTGTAATTGAAATGATTGATACCTACATATATTTAAATAACACAATACAGAGCCTCTGAAATTAAGACCAAATGCCTAGTATTCGGCTTTGCCTTCAGAGGCCACACAAACTGGACAACTGCACTCTTAACACGTAGTCTCTTTTTTTCCTCCCAAGTGTATCAGTGCAGCTAAGTCAAAGCATGTTTCAGCTCTTAACAAAATACTCTAATCTCAGCCCCCTGAACTCCGCCTTGGACAGCTCTTGTTTTAGCACAGCGCTCAATTTTCCACATAGGTCAATCTCGCTAAATAACTGCTTTTCTTAGAAGTTTCATTTCACCTGGATTTGGGGCTGAAACTTGTCACCTCCTATGTGAGAAAGGGAAAG